CAGGCCCTTTACATATCAAGTTGCTAAGCTCTGCTGTTTCTGGGTCTGAAGAAGAAGATTGCCAAAAATTGGCTATAATTGACGTACGACGGACGAAAACCAATCAGAATAGGTCACCATGGCCTTTGGATGGGTGACCTAATAACCATGTTAATGATCAGTATTTACAACAGAATAAACCAATGTATGCCGAATGTGGTTGCCCTTTTCAAAAGCATTCTTCACTGGATTATTTTTCTGGACAAACAGCCTATGCAATTAACGAGACATTTTGCCATATTAGTCCACAAAACAAAGGAATTAATCCAAATAATATACATTTCTTATGGAAAACTTCATGTGAGTGTTGTTTCTTGGTCATCTGGTAGGTCCACTTCGGCAATTGAAAAGGGGGATTTTCCCTCACTTACAATAACAAAGATCGTGCCAGTATGTGTTGTAGATGGCCTTATACAGTGAGACTACACAAAACGGCACCTTCATGTTATTTCAATATTTAACGTTAAGATGTTTTCTCTTTGTTTGCTGGGATGTTGGAGTTTGAACGATTTGGTTATCTAGTCCGCCCTCTTCGCCCTTAACCAATCTGACTTGGGTGGCCCTGCCAGGAGCTAAGCTCCAGTCAGCATAGCAATTGGGTTCATCGGAGCCCCGCGAGTACCTATATATACCTTCTCGGCCTAATTATAATATAAAAAGTTGGGTACCACAATAAGGATTCTCAAGAATGTTGTTTTCTAACATAACAAGACTGTTACCTGTCAAAAGAATATAACATCTTTTCATTAAAGGTTATTTAGGTAATACATAACCCGATTTTCTAAAATAATCACAAACTATAGCAAAATGTCCCTTTAAGCAGGCTCCCCTGTACATATAATACATGTTATTCATTTGGAGAAAGTATCTAATATTTTGATAAATAAATATTTGATAATTCCCCTTCCTCTCGGGTTTACCTGGAAAACAATCTTATTGTATCCTTGTTTTAACTATGTTTCTTAACATACCTTTGTCAGTTCTCGAGTCGAGTGTGATGGCCGGTAATTTTCTTTGTGTGTTTTCACATCATGTCCTAGATTTCTTGCAAGCATCTCCAATTCAGGGTCGGTCATATCGAGGATCTAAGGTCAAAGCAATATTCAAATCAACATTTCACTCCGAAAAAGACATGTGTAACCCCACGCTTTCGGCGGTAGTCTTCCGCTTTCAGGTAACATTTTCTGCCTATCGCTTTACATTCAGAATCTTCATATTTCCAATATTTCCACCTGAAAATTCCGATTTCAAATCTTGTATTTGTAAAATCTGCCTTATTGTGGTATTCGTGGACTATTTGCCTTCTCGTGACCAAAACTAACAGCTCAAGTTGTCTACTGAAGCTTGGATTAACCCCTGACACTAATGCAAGTTGTTGTTTCAACTTTTCATGGGTGGCTGATTGGCTTATTAGATCAACCACTGAGCATGGCCAGCCAAGTGTGACAGTGTATCATCCACTCACTGGCCTCCAATATTGAACAATACATCATTAAACAGTAGAAACAATACCCTAACACCCCCAGAAAGAAGCACCACACCTGTTTTCAATCATGACCAATCATGCATTCAACAAGAGGAGGTCATTGCCATTCCGATTTCAAGCATGCCTGGCATGGCTGATGGAGGCTGCCATATTGTCATAATCTCGAAATAAACAACATCGTTTTTACATTTATACTGGGCATATTAAACACTCCCAAAGGACAAATAGGATATAAGGTCATTTTAGATTGTTATTGTTACGTTCAATACTCTGTAATAAAAGAAATCGATATTGTATTGCTCTTTTAGATAAAAATAGCATGTGGTATCAAGATTTCTTTATGCAAGGGAACTCGGTCTGACATAGTTTGGTGTTGAGTTTGATCAAACTCCATATTGAAATACGGCTGCTAGGGTGAAGACAAGCAATATGTCCGGGGTTTTTTGTTCAAATATTATGAAGTGACCTTGACATTTGGCAATCATGCTTCTATTCGAACTTGTCCAAGGTATGTCCAATGGGACAAGTGAAGTTTCATCAAGTTAGTGGTCCTGCATGAAAAGATCAACGAGATGCATGTATGCTCCAGCCAATGATGCCTGAAAAACTGACTAAAGAACGGACAAAGCAGGAACAACATGCTTTCCCAAATTTTCCGGGGAGCAAACAAAGGGTAAACTCTAATGACCTGCTTTTTATTTTGTTATATGGCTTCGTGTTTTGCTTGATTCTGATGTTACATATCGACGAGTACACCCGTCTGTGATGAATATAAATGCATGTTCACCTCTTTGTGCTAAATACAGCACAGCGAGGTCAGCAATCTTCGCTGTGCAACAACCAATCAGAAAATGCGTTTTATCGTTTTGCAGCCAATCAGAGTGCTACAAACAAATGCCATTCGGAATTCACTTGTTTCACTTTCACGGAAATGGCAGACGATTTGCTCCCAAGAGAGGTTTGCGTCCATTAACGAAGAATAGTTGCAAGAGATCTTAAAACATAAAGATTCGTTAAATATCTGAGGAAACACAAACAGTGCTGTGAAACTTTTCCGACTTTTCTAAATGTATTTAAATGCAAAAGCTAAAGTTTTCAAGTTTTGCTCAATTTTTCGTTAGTTATTGACTTTTAATTTTGGCCTTGGTAAACAAATTCTTTCCTAGGTCTGTACATAGTCACATGTAAACCTCAACTAAAGTCAATAATTGTATATGGTACCCGTCACACCATGGCCATCTTCCCACGATGTATCCATATACATACTACTAAGTTTCCTTAAGGTCATATAGTAGATAAATAGACATGTTCTTTACATATGAGTAAAACATCCAATCTTCAGGTTCTGATGGTCTCTCAGCAAGTTTTCAGTCGGACCAGTCTGTTTAAATATCAAAGTTTGAAAGTGTAAACAAACCTGCGACACAGTAGCAATGTACTTCCGAGGAGCTGTCGAACTGATCCGCTCAGGAAACTGGATCCCTGGACAGCTATCCACTATTTCCCTCAGATCTGTATTGCCCGTCAGTGGGGAATCAGAACTCAATCTGGCAAAAATGTACTTGTTTGTGGATCGCACACCAACATCTTTCCGGAGTCCATTTAGGAGGTCTATTGCATTTTTCGTATCCGGAGGCAGTAGAACATAGGCATCCACATTCTTGCGCGACTTTCCAGCAGAGATGACCATGTCCATTCTATAAAAAAAAAAAGTTCAATCAGCCTAAACGATCACCCACCTGAATCAATTGTTGGGCCCCACCTACCCAGTCTCCTGGGATGCAGGACAAATTAGTGGACATTGGGAAAAAGCCCCATGTACTGAGGTACCAAAACTCCCGAGGTACAAATGTACTTTAGATCCCCTTCCTCCAAGGTGATGCCTAGTAAGTGTAATATAACTAGAATTACGTCGGAGACATGATGCCCCCACTACTGCTTTGTTAGATGCAGGCATTTGACACTGACTGAACAATGACCTTGACCTGAGAGACCTTCACACTAAAAAACTTGCTGACAAAACTTTAACCTGTGATCTAAGTACAAAATGCGACAACAATGGAGATTTTTTTTTTATATTACCGGTAATTTCACAATTTGAATTCATAGCAGCAATATTAGACCCCAACGTGATATTATTGAGCTCGAAATCAGCATTGTAGCACTGTTTTGAACTGAATGGTAGGCCTTTACAAAAGCAGCCTGCTCAAAAACTTCAACCTGGGAATCAACATACCTGCTGGCTAACAGTTTATCTGCAGATGATAGTGCCATTTCAAATTCCCCAGACTGATCATCTTGCCAGTTCGGCCTAGTCTCGTAGTCGTCAACCTTCAAGTCCTTCACTTCAGCTCGCCTTCGTTTGTTGAATAGAATCGGCCTGCACATAGTCAATTTTGTAAGTTTTGTCCAATCACAAGCCATCGGGTGTTCCCGCAGTGCTGTGGATGCTTGGTTCATGTTGCAGATGATGAATGCTGTGAGCGTTTTCAGATCTTCTGTCAGTGGAATTGTTTGCACCTTCTGTCTATGTAATGTGTTCATTCGTTTTACACACACACAGTTAACTCTATAGTTCCACTAGGCTTCAAACAGCTTTTGAAAGCCCGAAGCCTTCTGGCATCTACCTTCGTCAGACTCACCACATCTCAAAGCATCCCCAATTTTTACTTGAATGATATGGCCCAGTATATTTCCAAGATACCTGCCCAAAGAGACAGCAGGATTTTCTTTGTCTATAGACATCAATTTGGTGGAGGCGACGACAAGATCAAAATGTTCTGGTGAAATGAGGCTGTCAAGATTGATCATCGAAGTAAGGTTTATTTTTCTGCATTGCAAAATCAATCTTCCTAATGTCCAGCAACACTGTGATACCCTGTGGATATCGTTTATTTTCTGGTCGCTTTCACTGCCCAGGCCTTCAACACCCAGCGCTGCATATTTCCTAATAAGCTTTTCATGTGCAACAACATCCTTGACCTCATCATTGTGCATCCTGTCCAACATTTTTGTCACGAATGGATCTTTTAGTTAGTAGGCATATTTTGCTCACTCTTGGTTCCAGTTTATGAACATTTAAAAGATGACGTGAAATTTTGCTTTTTATCATTTTTTTGCAGAATGTGCAATAATTCTGTTTATCATAAGTGTTTTTACATCCTTCTATTTTTGTCCTTTTGGCAATAATCCAAATATTTGTGTTCCACCCTCGTCCTCAGTGTCCTCAGTATTCTCATTGGTTTTTCTTTCTGATGTATCTATTTCCGTGTTTAATTCAGGGTCAAGTTCATTAAAATAGCACTCATTAACAATGACATCCGACATCTCACTATCTGAAACGTGGTCTATAAAATCCTTTTCTATATCGTTTCTTCGTGCTATTTTGTGATCTGTTGAAGCAAAGTCATCATCGCTTGTGACATATTCAATTTCACTTGCAGTACACTCGAAGTTAGGATCACAGGTATCGGTACTGTCATCTGAACATTCGTCGCATGAAGTCTTCATCCTAGCCATGGTTGACCACTAAAAATTCAAAATTTAAATAATTTTTATACATGTACAGGTAGGTAATATAAGGACTGTTCCATTTAAACATAAATGGCACTTGCAAATTGGGATACCCAACCATAGAAGTTTTTTTTTTAAGTTTTGGGGCATTTTCAAATTAGTATACCCACACATAGAAGTATTTTGAAGTTTTTTAAAGTCCCATTCCATAAAGCTATTGCTTACGCTTTGATAAATATACATATTGTATTTTCTCTAATAGATGCCCCGGCATTTCACGAAAGGGGGGGAGGCGGGCTACAATTACAGATACCCTTTTCCGAAATAGACTATATAGCCAATATTACCAAGACTATGGTATATTGACCTACATATACAAACTTGGAAGCTGTCGCTGTGTTGATATTCCTCAACTTAGAATATGTTTAAAAGACACACAAGACGTATCTTCCAATTATACATATATCTGAATATCTGGTGAACCCATCAACAAATCTTAAGGAGAATGTGCAATAGGTCTATGACAGGTCAAATGTAAACAAAGAATATCGACACGAGAGAAGATTTTGTTTTAGTTCACGCCAAATTGATTACTTGTTCGTCGAGATTACCGCTCTCGATTTGGGGGAGGTCGAGAAAAAAATGAAATACATATTGCACATAAGGGCAGCTGGAGTGTGGAAAAACCTGCAAAATGGATGTCCATATTTGTAACAAGAGGCCAAAGTCCATAATACAGCCGTCAATATTTTACAGTAAAGATGTAACAAAATTTGACCTCTGTGACCTTGACCTTTGGGCAGTTTACTTTTTGGTTTGATTCCAACCAACTTTGCTTCATGATGTCCTAACAAAATAATTACCAGTTATGAGATACACAATTTGACCTTTGACCCAGTTGCCTTGACCTTTGATCATGTGACTTCTTGTTCGATTCCAACCAGCTTTGCTTCATAATGTCATTACAAAATATTTACCAGTTCAGAGATATAAAATTTGACCTCTGACCTGGTGACCTTGACCTTTGATAATTTGACTTCTTGTTTGATTCTTAACAACTTTGCTTCATAATGTCATAACAACATAATTACCAGTTAATAGATCTGCGCTCGCTCACGTTTTAGATTTCCATTTCCCAACAAACAAGTTATCAATTTGGCGTGGCCTAACAATAGCCGGTTCATTAAATATTTCAAAGACATGGAAGAGTTTGTTATGCAATTCATCAATTACTTGAGTATATGTACCTGGATGGCATTTGTCATTGTGGATCTGAAGTGTTCTCTCTCGCCGGTATGAGGTCGCATAAATGGCAAATGAAGCCTGAAGTAAAATTTAGTAAAATGTAAGATATTTATACATGTAGCAGATGTCAAAATATGATTGTTTCGACACTGGACTGTTTAAAGTCAAATGTCAAAAAGTCTGGTGACCTGTAAAAACATCCAAAGAAACATATTTCGGAAAGACATGTGATACTGATAATATTGTTGTGAATTATAATCTTTCCAGTCTATTTTATACAATTACATAATGTATAGTGGTGTAAAGATTCACTGATGCATCAGTGAATTGTATCGCCAACCTATGCACGATACATCATCTGGCAAATATGATACATCGTGATACCTAACAAGAGGCCAAAGGCCATTATACGCCTGTCAATATTTACCAGTAAAAATATACAAATTTGACCCAATGACCTTGACCTTTAGTCACTTGACTTTCCGTTTGATTCTGACCAACTTTGCACAGCAAGTAAATTATAATTTACCTGTCGAGGTAACTTTTTCTGCTGAATCTGTTTTTTTCTTTTCCCTGCAAATAAATCAGCACTTGTCATCTCTATTTCTTCATTATCATCACTCATTTCCATTACATCATCTGTAATATTCTTTCCACCATCAGTCATCTCCTTTCCACCATCAGTCATCTCCTTCCCACCATCTGTCATCTCCTTTCCACCATCAGTCATCTCCTTTCCACAATCAGTCATCTCTTTCTCACCATCTGTCATCTCTTTTCCGCCATTTGCCATCTCCTTTCCACCGTCAGTCATCTCCTTTTCACCATCTGTCATCTCCTTTCCACCATCAGTCATCTCCTTTCCACCATCTGTCATCTCCTTTCCACCATCAGTCATCTCCTTTCTACCATCAATCATCTCATTTCCACCATCTGTCATCTCCTTTCCACCATCAGTCATCTCCTTTCCACCATCAGGAATCTCCTTTCCACCATCAGTCATCTCCTTCTTACCATCTGTCATCTCATTTCCGCCATTTGCCATCTCCTTTCCACCATCAGTCATCTCCTTTCCACCTTTCCACCATCGGTCATCTCCTTTCCACAATCTGTCATCTACTTCTCACCAAGTCATCTCCTTCCCACCATCTGTCATCTCCTTTCCGCCATCAGTCATCTCCTTTTCACAATCATTCATCTCCTTTCCACCATCAGGAATCTCCTTTCCACCATCAGTCATCTCCTTCTCACCATCTGTCATCTCTTTTCCACCATTTGCCATCTCCTTTCCACCATCTGTCATCTCGTTTTCACCATTTGTCATCTCCTTTCCACCATCTGTCATCTCTTTTCCACCATCAGTCATCTCCTTCCCACCATCTGTCATCTTCTCTTCACCATCTGTCATCTCTTTTCCACCATCAGTCATCTCCTTCCCACCATCTGTCATCTTCTCTTCACCATCTGCCATCTCCTTTCCACCATCTGTCATCTCTTTTTCACCATCAGTCATCTCCTTCCCACCATCTGTCATCTTCTCTCCACCACTGTCATCTCCTTTCCATCATCTGTCTTTCTACCATCTGTCATTTCCTTTTCACACTCTGTTCTCTCCTTTCCACACTATGTTCTCTCCTTTCCATCATCTGTCTTTCTGCCATCTGTCATCTCCTTTCCACACTCTGTCCTCTCCTTTCCACCATCCGTCTGTCATCTCCTTTCCATTATCTTGTGATTTGGAAGAAATTTTTCTTCTACAATCATCCAGGATGACCGTCAATGTCTTCTGCCATTTATAATCTACAAAACAAAAAAAAACATTTATTTTCTTTTTAAGAAAATGTTTACAGAGCCGATATTAAACAATACTACAATTATTGAAATCTTCTGAATCCGCATGAAAACAAAACAACCAATCAGTTACCACATTGAATCATTATATACTCAGCAAAAAAAAGAATGTAACAGGGGCCTCTATATCATGTTTTTATATGTTGAATTTAACATGAAATGATTGATTGGGACGATGCTATTGGAATATTAAATGTTAAAGTAATGTGTTATGGTTCAGCATACTTCGGGACGTTGACATCAGGTGGGGGTCCATCATTGTATACCCGCGGTTGATTTCGCTACGGTGAGTGAGTACCGAAGCAAAATCAATCCTGGGAATCCAACGATGATGGGGGTCATGATCTTTTAGTTTTCATGTTAAGTAGTAGTGCATGGCCTCCATCAGCCTGGATGACTGCATTGCAACAACACCGAATTAAGCTAATATAACGTCGGATGATGTGAAGGGGAATGTTGCTCCACTCCTCAAACAATGCCTGGGCAAGCTCCTGCAGGGTGGAGGACTGAATTGGGCGACACCACAAGTTTGCTTCATAATGTCATTACAAAATATTTACCAGTTCAGAGATACAAAATTTGACCTTGACCTCTGATTTGGTGACCTTGACCTTTGATAATTTGACTTCTTGTTTGATTCTGAACAACTTTGCTTCATAATGTCACAACAACATAATTACCAGTTAATACTGTAAATGTGATTATTTACGCTGGGTAAAAATTACGCGATTTGAAGGTCAAAACTATACGCGCAGGGGTAATTTACGCGGTCGCGGTAGATCGACGTTTACACTGCAGAGTTATCTCCATTACTTTACAACATGTGTACAGTTAAAAATACTAGCTACGGAGTACATGTTACGTATGCCTACCGATTGGTCATTGGATAGGTGAAAATAAAGGTAAACTGTATTCATGTGTATGTGTGTCTTATACCAGCTGATCTCGTAATCACCTCGGATCAAACAGGTGAGTGCTATTTAGTCAAAACAAACACGTTTTCCAAATAACAATGATAAAACCATACACTATTCGTAAGTTATTGTAACTAATCGAGCGCAATTAGTGTCGCTTCCATGATGACAGGGACATTTACCTGTGTAGGGATCGTTGCACACGACTGCTTGCTGTTTGTGTCCCGTAGACACGGTGTATACCGGACCTAGATGCACCCGGGTTTATTCACGACTTTCTCTTTGCATTTATATATATATTCAAATTTGTTGTTCATTAAAAACTTCAATTAATCGAGTAGTTTATTTCAGTTGTTATTGTTTTTATTTTATACCATTACAAGACAATTTACGTTAAGTATTAATACGTTAACAAAGCAATATTACAGAAGGACATCACACACACGTACCAATATCTATCAGAGTTGTCGTTCCTTACACTATCGATGAAACCATACGCGCGGGGGAAATTTACGCGGACGATCCAGCTCTGCGTAATAAGCGTAAATTTCCCCCACGTGTTAAATTCCACGTTTACAGTAGATCTGGGCTCGCTCCCGTTTTAGATTTCCATTTTTCATTAAATATTTCAAAGACATGGAAGAGTTTGTTATGAAATTCATCAATTACTTGAGTATATGTACCTGGATGGCATTTGTCATTGTGGATCTGAAGTGTTCTCTCTCGCCGGTATGTGAGGTCGCATAAATGGCAAATGAAGCCTGAAGTTAAATTTAGTAAAATGTAAGATATTTATACATGTAGCAGATGTCAAAATATGATTGTTTCGACACTGGACTGTTTAAAGTCAAATGTCAAAAAGTCTGGTGACCTGTAAAAACATCCAAAGAAACATATTTCGGAAAGACATGTGATACTGATAATATTGTTGTGAATTATAATCTTTCCAGTCTATTTTATACAATTTCATAATGTATAGTGGTGTAAAGATTCATCAGTGAATTGTATCGCCAACCTATGCACGATACATCATCTGGCAAATATGATACATCGTGATACCTAACAAGAGGCCAAAGGCCATTATACGCCTGCCAATATTTACCAGTAAAAATATACAAAATTTGACCCAATGACCTTGACCTTTAGTCACTTGACTTCCCGTTTGATTCTGACCAACTTTGCACAGCAAGTAAATTATAATTTACCTGTCGAGGTAACTTTTTCTGCTGAATCTGTTTTCTTCTTTTCCCTGCAAATAAATCAGCACTTGTCATCTCTATTTCTTCATTATCATCACTCATTTCCATTACATCATCTGTAATATTCCTTTCACCATCTGTCATCTCCTTTCCACCATCTGTCATCTCCTTTCCACCATCAGTCATCTCCTTCCCACCATCTGTCATCTCCTTTCCACAATCAGTCATCTCCGTCTCACCATCTGTCATCTCTTTTCCGCCATTTGCCATATCCTTTCCACCATCAGTCATCTCTTTTCCACCATCAGTCATCTCCTTTCTACCATCAATCATCTCATTTCTACCATCTGTCATCTCCTTTCCACCATCAGTCATCTCCTTCCCACCAACAGTCATCTCCTTCCCACCATCTGTCATCTCCTTTCCACCATCAGTCATCTCCTTTCCACAATCAGTCATCTCCTTCTCACCATCTGTCATCTCTTTTCCGCCATTTGCCCTCTCCTTTCCACCATCAGTCATCTCCTTTCCACCATCAGTCATCTCCTTTCCACCATCAGTCATCAACTTTCCACCTTTCCACCATCGGTCATCTCCTTTCCACAATCTGTCATCTACTTCTCACCAACAGTCATCTCCTTCCCACCATCTGTCATCTCCTTTCCGCCATCAGTCATCTCCTTTTCACAATCATTCATCTCCTTTCCACAATCAGTCATCTCCTTCTCACCATCTGTCATCTCTTTTCCACCATTTGCCATCTCCTTTCCACCATCTGTCATCTCTTTTTCACCATTTGTCATCTCCTTTCCACCATCTGTCATCTCTTTTCCACCATCAGTCATCTCCTTCCCACCATCTGTCATCTTCTCTTCACCATCTGTCATCTCTTTTCCACCATCAGTCATCTCCTTCCCACCATCTGTCATCTTCTCTTCACCATCTGCCATCTCCTTTCCACCATCTGTCATCTCTTTTTCACCATCAGTCATCTCCTTCCCACCATCTGTCATCTTCTCTCCACCACTGTCATCTCCTTTCCATCATCTGTCTTTCTACCANAAATGAACAGATCATCAAGGTATATGTAACAAATCTGAGTGTGATAATCTCCAAGAATCATTTCCATACAGCGCTGATACGTTCCTGGTGCGTTTACTAACCCAAATGGCATACGAGTATACTCATAAAATCCAAGTGGTCCGACCGTGAATGCCGTCCTTGCCTTATGCTCCTCTGCAATCTCAATCTGATGGTAACCACTTTTCATGTCAAGCACGGTGAAGTAACTATTTCCTGCCAAAGAATCCAAAATGTCGTCGATCCTTGGTAATGCGTATGCATCCTTAATAGTCCTTCCATTCAACTGGCGGTAGTCTACACGCATCCTTAATGCACCATCTTTCTTGCGCACTAGCACTACATTTGACGTACGGTATATATATACTGCGTCATTTTACTTGTATTTTATATATACGTGTTTCTTTGTCATACAGAAATTACGAGTACACGTAATAACCTCGGATAATTCCGTACGACTTCAAATGGCCCTGTTCCACAAATAGGTACAGTTTTCTATTTTAAACTTATAGTAATGTATTGATGAATGTATTTTATTGTACTCTTTGTATATTTATTAAGTAACCTCCGTACCAATAAATACTGAGCTAAGATAAGATTTACATCATATGTTCAATATTACATGTGTATAAATATCAGTAAATATAATGTAAATCTAGATGTAATATAACTTTTATAACTTATAGAACTATAATCTTACATGTAACATTTCAAGATAACTTCTTGTAAATTCAGTGTGCTACATGTATATGTGCGTTATGAATGAGTTGTAGATCCCATACATATATCTGAAATGTAATTATTATATGATTGCAGGGTTTAATCATTTATGTCTAAGGAATGGGAACTACGCACAATAAATCGTGAAGAACTCTCACAGTGTTTGTTGATGTTTATCTACAAAATTCACCACTGCTACATAAATAACAATGATAAAACCATACACTATTCGTAAGTAAATTTGTTGTTCATTAAAAACTTCAATTAATCGAGTAGTTTATTTCAGTTGTTATTGTTTTTATTTTATACCATTACAAGACAATTTATGTTAAGTAGTAATACGTTAACAAAGCAATATTACAGAAAGACATCACACACACGTACCAATATCAGATCTATCAGAGTTGTCGTTCCTT